CCCCAAAACCCCAAAACCCCAAAACCCCAAAACCCCAATTTCACAGCAAAAATTGATTATAATATTATAAATTATTATTTATAAAGATGCTGTCAGCCAGGTTATTCAGGAATTTAAGGCCAATGAAGTTTGCTAGAACTTTCTGCTTTGTCTCCAAATATTCAGAAGACTCTATTCCAGGCGCTATTAAGCAAGCAAGAAGAGAAAATGAATGGATTGATGTAGCCAGGTTCCATTCTCAGAACCAGAACTGGACTATTAAGGAGCTAGATCAATACAGTGCAGCTTTTGCATATGGTCTTGTTGAGAGAGGATACACTCCTGGAGACAAGCTCCTCTTATGGGTTGATGAAGAAAGTGCAGCCGAAGTTGCAGTAGCTCATATTGGAGCTATCAAAGCAGGAGTTTCAGTAGTTTCAGTCAACTCTAATGATGAAATTCATCATATTAGAGATACTTTATATCAATCAGGAGCTCATGGAATTCTATTCTCTCCACATACTAGTGTCGATGCAAGGACTCAGAGAGCCAATTTGCTATTAGATTTAATGCCTGAGCTTATTGATCATGTTCCAGGACAGACATTAAAGGTTGGCGATTTCCCAGAGTTGAGGCATGTGATCCACACTGGACACTCAACCATCAGAGGAACTTCTAAATTTAAGGAGACTCTTTTGTATGCTAAGTCTGAGCAAACAAATCTCAAACTCCCTGGAACAACCGGAGATGTTAGTGCTGTTGAATATTACAAAGAAGGAGAATACATTGCTGATATTACTAATAATGAATTTTTAGGAAAATCTCAAGAGATATGGAAAAGTCATTTAAGTCATGGAAATAAGAGTTTGCCTGTCTTCTTGACATTATCTCTTCAAAGTCCTTTAGGATTCGCTACCTTCCTCTCTAGTGTTACAAACGGAAGGAAAGTGTTTGTGCCGTCCACTTACAATGTTGCTAAAATTATAAAATCGTTCGGATACCAAAGAAGTGATACCCTTGTATGTGATGAAGCTCTGTACAACTTTAAGACCCCTGGACACAAAGCAGAAGAGGTTGAGGAGAACAAGTCACATTTTGAGAAGATCCTTGTTCCTTCTGATAGTACTGGGTTTGAATTTAACGTGTATAATGAATTCTAATAATTTCGTTCAGATTCAAAGGCCATTCAATTAAGTTAAAAAAATAAGGGGTTTTGGGGTTTTGGGGTTTTGGGGTTTTGGGGTTTTGGGG